CAATTTCCTCAGCAGATACATCACCACTAGAAGTCTTCCGTGTTGCCCATTATGGTCGCTGGGGACGGTATCTAATATGGGAGAGAGCTTCTCGTGATGTTCGTTTGTAGTATGTAGTGATACATACGTTCTGGCTGCCATGTCCCGCATATGCCAATGCGGGCTTGGGAGTAACTCTCTCACCAAGCTCCGAATCTTAGTGAGATCTCCCGGTGGTCGGGCTTGGCGCAAGATCTGGAGGGCAGGAAATACGCCCTCGGCACCATGGAGGTCCATCGGTGAGCTACCGGCCTCAGGCGTCTCCATAATCCTGACATCGCTACTTGGCTCAAGCAGCTCTATCAAGATTTTCACGAGGCTGGGGTAGTTGTCATAGGAGAAGCGCGAAGTCTTGGCTCGTTCCCGCTCTTTCCAGTCCTGTGCTTCGTCGCTGCCGAGTAATCGTTCAATCAGAGCTTTGAACAGCATCAAACTACAGTTGCGGAGCGGCCATCTAAAAAGGAGTCAGTCCAGAACTAGTCAGTCATGTATTTATGGTCTTTACATAGACGAATTCAAGGTTTTAGCAGCAAGCTCGAGACCTTGTCCGATATATGCCTCAGATGCAACACTTAGCTTGGAGGTTGTGAATATTTCCTTGATGCAATTAAGGGCATGCACTTGAGGAAGACGGCTTTCCTCGATATTGGTACTCTGCGCTTCCACCAAAGTCTCGGCTACAAGATCCTTTATGGCTCGTGGGAAGAGCTTGCCTCCTGCTTGGGGTTCTGCTGCTAGTAATGCGGACATGGCTGCTGGTATGCCCGCGGATCTCCTAGTAATGGCATCTGACTTTGCTTGGATAGATCGGAGGGTTTCCTACAGAGCGTCAGCTCCAACACGCACGCTGAAGTAATTGTGCACGAACCTGGTACCACATTTCAGGCAGCGCACGTATCGAAGGTATATTCGAAGTGACACAACGGCGGCAGAACACAGCAAATGTTTGCGACACTGTCGAAAATGCACCGCGGTGACGAAGTTCAAGGAGCTGTGTAAAGCAGAGTCTGCCCAGCTTTTCAAAAAGCTCCGGGGTGACAAGGTCACCGTCCCCATCGCCTACAGGAGCTTTAAGGATAACAGTTCGTAGCAAAACACTGTAGCAATTAGCGAAATCGAGAGTATAGTAGGGTTTTGGTCACCTGGCCTCCTTAAGTCCCCTCCAGGAGTAGCTTAGAATCTCTTTGGTGTCTAGACTGCTCTCATCTTCCAACTCATCGGGGACATGGCCTTCCGGTGCATCTGCACACAGGACGTGGTAGACGCAAGACCAGAGACTCTCGATACTTGCTACAATTTCGCCGTGAGACCTCTTCCAGATGGTAAATACCTCCGGTGGTAAGCTGGATATGGTAGAGTAGAAGTCGGGCTGGTCAACTACATAGCGTAGCGCAGCAAAAGTGCCATGTACAGGTCGGCCGTCAACGGCCTTTGAAAGATCTGCGTGGGCCAGGTTCAAGGTATCCTGTAGCTGTGTTTTTAAATGTTCGAACAAACTCTGTTTCGAAGAAAAGTGTGAGCCAGCGAAAATGTTTGACTCATCGCTGGCCAAAGCAAAGACCATTCCATAAGCACGAGCAACGCCATCTGCTTGATCTGCTCGGCCTGTTCGAAGCATTGTAGCTTCCGCCCTTGCAAGAAAGCGAGGAATCATCGACAGGGTACGTTCTTGATCAGTCCGAGGGAGAGCAACTAGACATAGCTGCAAGACTGACACAGCTGCGTCACGGACATCGTCGAAAGGATCTAAAATCAGGTCAAGCAGCGACCGGCAAAGTTTCGTGTTCCCGATCCGAAGTTCATGAGTCCAGTTGAGCTGCCCTTGTGCAGATTTGGAAAGACTGGTGAACGGGACGCCCGGGTCTATTCCAGAGCGCAGTACGATGGTGATAGAACGTAATGCAGTAATGCGGCTCTGATAAGACGCAGTCGGACGTAGCTCCCACTCGAGAAACTGGATATACCAGGCGATGAAAGCCAGAGACTCAGAGAGCGGGTCCTGTTCCCCATGTTGGGCTATCGAACCATGGGAACCAGAGCTCGTCTTTGGAAAAGGGAGGCGAGTTTGGCTAGATGCACCACCCTTAAATCTTGACTTTGCAAGAGTCGCCGTACTAGCTCTGAGACGATCGAAGAGCTTCTGTGTATAGCCGTGAACTTCTCGGCGAAAGTTCGCATCCGTATCTGTATGCAGATGGAAGAGGTTGCGCCTGAGAGCCTGTAGGATGCCACCACTAATAGCTCTCGTAACAGAAGTAGAGTATACGCAAAGAAACATGCCTGCGAGTCTGACTTCAGGATGCGGATCCGCCATCCAGGCACCAGGGACGTTATCGGGCAGATATAGCGCTCCATCGCGGATCTCGATATCATTTTGAACTCTATAATCTGGTATGAAGATCAGTGACTAATCTTGCGCCACGTTGGTGAGAACTTACCATTGTCCTTCACTATGTTGAGTTCTTTTCCTGTGGCGATTGCTGCCAACAATATCCTGAACTCTTCCATCTCTCCGAGGGACGACGTGTGACCGCCAGCTTGATACAACTGACTGGGCAACGCATTTTCGTGTGGAACATGTGACTCAAAATGGAGATATGCGAGAAATTTCAAGTACTCCGAAAGATTAGGTAGAAAGCAATGAGGGAAGACGTGAGTTCTGAACTCCTGAATGCGATCGGGCCAATCTTGTAACGTCTGTACTACCGGCTCTATCCAGAATGGTGATATGGAGCCGTCATTGCCTCTTTCGTCGTAATCTGCAAGACGTCGGGCCTGAAGTAGGTAGTTCTTGATCAAATGGCCCGCCGAAAGAGCGGTGTCGTGGTGAACAACCCATGCAAGGAAAGATTTGAACACCGTCCTCGAAGTCACGGCATCCTGGACTGTATCCGACGTCCGCTTTAGCTGCACATCAAACAATCCAATCAATTCCGTGATGGAAATGACATCCCGAAGCAGGAAATGGGCAAGGCCTTGCAAAGCTGGTTTGACTTTGATGCGATCTTCCCGCTCACATATGATGTCCAGGAAAGAAGAGGTAGCTCTTCTCCGAAGTTCATTCGCACGCAGGCTCTGATCTTTGGTAACGACACTTGTGAGGACCAAAAGCATCTGCCTCATCGATTTGCCCTTTGCATCTCCAGAGCGCTGGAGGTAGATGTTGAAGGTTCTCATCCATACCGAGTCATCCAGGATCGCCTCTCGTGCATACGCACTGTCGGAAGCCGCACAATACTCAATAATTCCACACAAAGCATTCGATGCGGCTGCGCGATGGCTGTTCTCTAGATCTGTTAGATCTGCAGTCTCTAAAACAGGAGCGAGAATAGTATGGAGTTCTCTAGTCAGATGTTAGTGGGGTTCAGTATCGGCAAAGCAACGCTCACGGACTTTGTGTCCTTACTTCAGAGCAGTTGCCGGCTCTTTCTCTGCGAAGTTGGGCAATCTCTTCGCCACATTTTTGGCTAATTCCCGCAATGCCTTGTCAGAGACAGGGACATCAGAAGTGGGCGCGTTTTCTTCTGCCATAATTTTGAAGATGAATCAATCTCGCACGGGCGCCAACAATTCTCCTTAGTAGGTCAGAGAGGCGAGGGGCTTGAGATTCGCGAGGTGGACCCACCAGCTGAGTAAGCCGCAAATCCGTTTCCGCGTGACGTCTTGCCCCGATCCTCAACCATACCACGACGCGACGAAGATCTAAGACCTAGCCACGCCAACCAAAAGGCCTTCGACATCGCGCTTATCCACCATCCGCTAAGATCACTAGGTTCTCTGTGATTGTTTGCACACAACTTGGCTTCAATGGCTATTCCCTAGTCCTATGCATAGCGCGTTAATACGCGTCGGATACGCGCTTCATGACATCGCATACCTACCGAACTATCCCAAGCAACAATTATTTCCCTCGAACAGCCTCCGAAGACACTTCTACAGGCTCCTTCCCGATAAGCTCTTCGTCCCTCGGATGATCCTAACGTTTCGCCAACATACGTTCAAATTGCTGTCGTCTGGCTTGTCTCAATTTCGTAATTGAGCACGCGTTTTGACTCTGCGAATAAGCTCGTTTTCTCCTAGTTGTACCACATATGCTAAAGGCTACTCTGAAGGTATCTGTAAAATTTTATGTCGCAACCTTGACAAGAAAGCGTTAGTTTATGCCTTCAGGACGCATTTTGTAATTGGTATAGTTCACTCGAAATGAGCTCACTCGCGCTATGCAATGCAGAATGGCAGAGGACACTAAAACTACCAACAGATCTAGCACCATATGGGGCTCAGGGGCATAATGTCCATCACGTTTGCATCCACGAAACCTGCTACATCTTGGCGGTATCATTGACATGCGACATGTGTATGAGAAGGCAGGATTACGTTTTCCTTGCTACTCATTGGATCACCATGAGTAGCTCGATTACCTTGATCCGATCCATACCCGCCTGTGCGACACAGAAAATATGCCAAGCATTATCTAACAGTATAGTGACGTAGCGCGCCGGCGTTTGTTGGGCATACATCGGGAAATCAGAGCGAGAATATGCCTCAAGCTCTCCAACGAAGACCAGCAATTCTTCTACAGTGAGCAATCTTATCGGGTTGTTCCGCCTGTGTGTTGTGCGATCATGGGAACTTGCTGCGGAAAAGGCTGCCAAACCGGGGAGCGAGAGGAGTCTCCGTTGTTCTATACTCCACCGCCTATTGAGAAGCCTACCAGTTCTACCAGTGCGTTTGAAAATGACAGCAATGATGCTGAAAATACGGGTTTCTCCGGCCCTACAGCCCGCGGTCGTACCTTGTATTGCACCCAGGAACATACCCATGTTGCTCAATCGTGTACTTCCCGTATACCTGATCCATTCCTTTCAAGTCTTTTCAGCTCTGAGGTCTCGGACCTTGAACTAAAGTCATCACCGCTTGGGCAACAGACAAGCCACGACAAGCAAGACCTTTCTCGCAACATGTCTCTTACAGGTAGTTCTCTCACCTGGTTCGACAATACTTCCAGCTGCCCAGCCAAACACCGCAATCACCCGTCTGGCGATAAGCCTCATAAGTTTCTCTATACGGGACCAGTCTCACCGAGACCCGTTCCACCGTCAATCTCCACGATTGAGCCAAGACCCACACAGTATACCCAATCATTAGGACAACTCGCTGGATATTCAACAAGCGAGGAGGACGAACTAGAGACAAACTTGATACGAGGCGCTAAGAAAGGCCGACCCAAGAAGGCCATTGCCTACAAGTCTTCTGAGTTTGTTGCAAGTGACAGTAGTGAGTCCGAGGTCATCCGTCCTCCATCTCATCAGGTCCGCTCTTCACGAACCACATTGGCAAGAAGCAAGCGACTGCAAGACCCAGATGTGAACACTGTTCCACACCTCGCTTCCCCTAGCAAGCTTGCTGACCAAACCCGTAAGACGAAAAATATGACTGCGAAGAGAAGAATAAATACAAGGGGTGGTTTTGTTGTGGACAGCGAGAGTGATGATGAGGAGAGTGACCTAAGGGGTCATGATGGCAGTAACAACCAGTCGAGATCGTCCACTCGACAAAAACCCTATGCATTGGAGCCACCACACTCTATCCAGGCCAACTCCAAAAAAGATTCCAGTGCAAAGCCTCTGCCAACCAAGCAGCTCAACAATAGCCGTCTCAACAAGCTTTTGGGAAGAGTGAAAGGTGCATCGACTACTTCCAGACAAGAGCAATTACTTGTCCATACACAGTCACCTATCACGACAACCCCAGCCTTCTCGACCTGGAACTCGCATCTCACCGCATCACTTGGGCTGCAGCAGTCAGCGCCTTCGCAGTCAGCTGTTAGCCTCAATTCGGACCGTGCTAAGTGCTCCGCCACGGCTGGTACAATGAAGGAGGTGAAAATCCTTGGCCAGCAAGCCAAGGTTGTAGGTTCATCGATGACCAAGACTGATGGTAACATGTCTTCAATCCCTCGAAAGATTCCACCAACCAATGCTGTTGTTACTGGCAGGACGTCGCTGCAGACCAGTTCAGTTTCTACTCCTCCGACTACTGCTGCCACAGGTCCATTCTCCAGCCCACTATCCAGACAGCGCAAGTTAGTACCGGGCGCGAACATTGCTCGGGAGCGCAAGAATGGCATGTCAGACAATAAGACCTCTCTACCTACACAGCCCAGAAGTCTTCTCCAATTGACGTTAGACGAAGCTAAAATGGGTACCATGGGTAGCACGCCAGGTGCGCAGCCTCAAGTCAGCGATCAATACGAACAGAACATAGCTAGAGGAAATCTGATCTCAATAACGTCGGCTGGCAAATCTGTAACTACACCTCAGTTGTGCATTGAGAAGCACGATATAATGGCAGCCAATGCGAAATCCAAGCAGTGTTCTTCATCAACATCACCGAGCCCGAAGGCATCGGAAGACTCAGCTTCGCAACGAGAAGAATGCCATACACAAATCCCCGATACATGCCCCAGGAAGTTCACACCAGGTATATCAAAGGCAAAGGCATCATCCTCGAAACCTGCATCATCTACACCCAGACGGCCAGTCCAGAAGCGAAAGCTTGACAGTATCTCCGGCGGTCCTAATCGCGCCTCTATCGCCGCACGCAAGAAGCCTAGTTCAGCCCTTGAACCTCAATTGAAGCGACCCGAAACTATACAGGCAGTATCGGAAGTTGACGCCAGTTCTCGCTCATCCGCAGCTCCGAAAGCGATTGTACGCAAGACACCCGCAGAAGCTACTGCGAAGAAGGCCGCAACCAATAACCCCGTCGAGAAGTCGAGGATATCTGAGATGAAATTGCTTTCGCAAGCGAAATCGTTCGACCGACCTGAGGAATTTGCGGCTGTTTCTACAAACTCCAACTCGAGTAAGCCTTCGAAATCTACCAGGCATGCTTCTGTGGCTCCTGATACTGCAACGCCTGCTCAGCATAACAATGCTTCCAACAGAGTTGTTAAATCTTCATCGGAGATCAACGCTTCCTTGGAACAACTGGCCGCGAACGAACCTGGTGGTGCTATCCAAAGGCCGTCTTCCACAGACGAAACACGCCAAATGGCAGTTACACCTTATCCTGAGAAGGCATTAAGCCTTTCGGTGAATGTCCGTTCAAAGAAGATGAGACAATCTGCTGAACCAGGTATAGGCATCCGTGAACAGCATGGGCCTATCTCTGCAAGCTCGCCTGCGAAGGCACATCCAGTCTTGGCCGCTGAGTCTATACTCTCAGCTACAAGAGAAGAGTCTCTATCCAGTTCGTCGATGACTATGCCAGAACCGGTTCCTTCGAACGAGTCTCAATTGACCGATCTGACAGAATCTGCAGTTCTAGAAGCAGGCTTGCCCGTATCAACTCAAACTATTGAGGATGGGGCAATGCACTCTGGAGAGAGACCAACAAGCGATATAGAGATGGACTTCGACAGTGGTGGAGTCACAGCAATAGTCGCTCAGCGTGACACGATGAGTGCTGGCAGAGTTTCAATCCCCAGGGCTGCTAATGATCATGACCCTCCAAGACAATCCCAAAAGCCTATAGAAACCACGGACGGTTTCCCCCTGACGACCTTGAGTTCCGAGTCGCCTAAGCATATGATCTCAAATGCACCCAAGATCGCTTTGACACCATTCGTAACCGCTCCTGTTTGTAGCCTACCTTCTTTGGGAGTCGCAACGAACTCCGAAGAAGACGTCCTACTTTTATCTTGTTCACCTCAAGTGTCCAAGGAGGCGCAACCCTACTTCGAGTATTCTGTCTTCCAAAAGGTGTGGTCAAGCGAGCAAACTGAAGAAAGCGTCGCGGTCACCGAAACGACCGTACAGCCCTTCACCAGTATCGTTGAGGCAAATGCACAGGCTGAAAAGACATTTCAAAACGGCTTTGCGCACTCCTTCGACCCCCTTTTCGAAAGCCGCACCGCGCGCGATGAATATGGATGCTCAATTCTCACTGGCTCCGCCACACCTTTTGATAACCCCATAAAGAAGATTTATTTCAAGATCTGGGTCCAGCGCGACATTGTTTCTAAATTCGCTAACCAGACGCCACAAACACTGAAGGCGACATCATTCATCTCAAGCACCTGCTACATCCTGCGCTTATTCAATCTTGCTGAGCAAGCCGATACCGAAGGTTCAGATGCTTCCGACTCGGAAGATAGCGATTCTCCAGCATGTGAGCCAGTTCGGGTGTATCAGTCCCACAGCCGTCCCGAGATATACACTACTCTCGATGCCGCTAATCGCGCGGCTCGCGCTCTACAAATCGAGCTCAGCCACGAGAGAGAGCCGAAAGACGAGTTTAGCAGGGCATTTCAGGAAAAGAACTTGAAGGAGCTGGATACAAAGTTGCGTGAACTTCAATCGAGGGAGCTGGACGGTGGGAATGATGGTTGTTGGAAGGGTAAGTTTAATGCGTGTGGTCTAGGGGCAGACACCTTGGAAGTGGTAGTGGAAAAGACTAGCATCTGCGGAGCACGTAACCTTTGAAATGCGCGCGTGATCGGACAGACTGTGGTAAGACGAGTGCAGATGAGATGTATGATGGGCAAAAGCTGGTGGTGTTTACAATTTTCATTCTTTTCTCATCTTGCTTGCGTGCTTGGTCTGCAGGGCACATTTTCCCAATCGATTGGAATATTCCTACCTGGAACTGCAGGGCGAGTAGTATATGGCTTTGAACAGTCTATGGTAACTTCCTTACAGTGTCTGTATCATAGATCTCCAATTGACGTGCTTTTCATAGAATCTTGTCTGTACTTTTTGTTTCTGGTTGATTATCCTCAATCTAAGCCGTGGATAGGAAGCAACCAACACGCAAGAACTGTTGTGCTCAAACAAGGGATTGTGATCAACCCATAGTGCATATGCAGGAGGGTGGTGTACGATGCAGGTGACTTGCTATCAACAAAAAGCAACAATCAACAAACACACACCGGCTGAAGTGGCGTGCAGCCAGCCGGGCTGCGCAATAGCAAAAAGACCACAACAACATAACACAGCCCACTTGCAACGATGAACCCCGCAGCGGTAGCACTTAGCGCATGTAAACAATCGATTACAAGGTTAGACAGCCTCATCGGGATCGCCTCCGAGCGGGGGTTGGGGGCGCCACAGTGGGTTATAACAGCGCCGAGGTACCGACTACAACGACGAGTTCCAAGTTATTACAGTTTCAGCATCAGCGCTTGTGAAATACGATGGAGGCCCGTGTGTTTTTGGTTAACGGTTGTTGAGTCAGTCTCCACTGCCGGCACTAACCAGAACCAAAATTTGAGGATCGCGATTCAGATACTGCAGAAAACAAGGAAATCCTGACTGGTGTGTGTGTGTGTGGATTGGATGTCAGTTGTCTCTTTGGTATGGATGGAAACCAACATTGTCAAGGGGGATTTGTACATTCATTATCCTCATCATCATGAGATGGTCGTAAGCGAGGCTTCTCACTACGCCGAAAAGTTGAAACAATATATAGTACATGAATACTTTTGGTCATAACACGTTCTTGCGAATGCTTAGATCAGAGCTTCACCTCTAAACATGGCTTCCCTGACTTCCCTGACGACATCTGCCCGATCACCCGGACCAAGCAACACGATACCCCTTCCTCGCCTGCCCATACGACCCGTTCGACCAAGACGGTGAATGAAATCGATCGTGGTATGTGGGACATCATAAAGAATGACATGGCGAACGGAAACGGTGTCGATACCTCTTGAGCCCAAGTCGGTTGTAACAATGACCTTTGTGTTGGGTAGGATGCGCTTGTTCGCCGGCTCAGTCTTCTTGTCTTGGTTTTCTGCAGTTTCCTTGGTGGATGCATCGTTTGTGAAGGACTTGAGGATATTGGCCTGACGAGTGGGATCGGTGTCCCGGTGGAAGGCGTGAGCATCGATACCCTTCTTGACAAGGTATTGTGCTACTTCTTCAGTGTCTTCGCGTTCGTTGACGAAGACTAAGACACGCTTCGTGGGTATAACTTCCTTGCCTTCGTTGGGGTCGAAGTCGGCGGATGCCTTGCCAATCTGCCAGACTGTGTCTGCGCAGGCGAGCATCTTATTGCCTCGATACGGGTCCTTGTTCACATCAACGACACCTAGCTGTACCCTTCGTGGGATGGCGTGGAGGTTGGGTGTGACGAGACGCTGCATGTCGGGGAATCGGTCGGCAAGGTACTTGTCAAGGTACTTTGGAATGGTGGCGGAGCAGAGGACGAGCTTTTTGAGGGAGGGGGTAGCGCGTTCGAGGATCTCGGTTGTGCTTTCCTTGAAGGAGCGGTCGAAGAGCGAGTCTGCTTCGTCGCAGATGAGGTGGGTAACCCGGGCAAGGATGTTGGGGTTGCTTTCAGCGATGCTGGCGAGGAGGGGTGGTGTGCTGATGACGACATCGACACCATTGGGGTTGAAGAGCTGATTGCGGATGACTGTGGCAGACATCTTGGCTGAGATTGGAGCAGCGCGAAACTTGATGGTGTGGGAGAGCCTCTTTGCGACGGCTCCGACTTGAGCAACGAGTTCGGCGGAGGGGACGAGGATGATTGCGCGCGGTCGTGCTGGGTCTACTGCCTTGTTTGTCTCTGGCTCCTCGACGGCGAACATGTCTGTCCTCCTGTCGTGTTCTTTGAGTGCCGCCTCTTCAGCATCTCTCTTAGCCTGCTCCTCGGCATCTTCTTTCTCGCGGACTTCCTCCTGTTTGATGGCGTCCAGAGTAGGAAGAAGGTATGCCAGTGTCTTTCCCGAGCCTGTCTCAGCTGCCAGTAGGAAGGAGTCTGGCCCACTCTTCTTGGTCTTTACTTTTGCGCGCACAGCCTTTTGCAGGCCGAGGAGGGCGGGTATAGCGACGGCTTGTGCGGGAGTTGGATTGCGGTATTCGAGGCCGGGCAGTGCATCGTTCACGGCGCGTAGTGTAGGTTCGGCGAGGGGGAACTTGTCGAATGAGTCGTATTGTTCGAGCTGTCGCTTGACGGCGGTGCGGTTGTTGTAGGGCACCTGGTGCAGCGAACTCTGCATCTTCAGGGCATGAAAAGGCTCCGACCGCGTCCTCCTCTTGCCGTCATCCCGTCCTGTCGCCGCCCGGCTGCCACGTGCTTCTCTCTGCTCTCGCATCCGTTCCAGTCCCCGTGGCACGTCGGTCCGGTTCAGAAAGTCGAAGGCGTCTGGCTTCCTCGTCGGCGCTCTGTCTGCTGTTCGCGCGACATCGTCTGCGAGAACCATGCGCGAGGGCCGGGGATTGTCGCGCCCTCTGAAGCCCGAGGAGGGCCGTGGTGGGCGTGAGGAAGAAGCGCCATGACGTTCCCCTCTCTCGCGCTGGACCTGGGTATATAGGCGGGTCTGCTGGGGGGGTGGCAGTTTCAAGAGGGCGCGCACTTCGCAAAACGGGCAAACTCTCCGCAACATGGCTACTTGGTTGCAAGTACAGGCAGGATTAAATGAAGAAGTCAGACTAGACTAGCATGCTCTGGCTACACTAAACCTTGACTAAAGGGATCCGACCTGACGTCGGCACTGCACAGGCGATCGTGCAGATAATTTCAGGCGCTAAGACGCGATAAGCGGCACGTTACCGGAGCAACTGCACGCAACACCGACGCCTTGCCTACATCCCGGCTATCAACACTTGATAGCACCAGCGGCCCCAACCATATCATAGTAAAGCACCCACACTTCCTCCTCCGCTTCTCCATCGCACATCTGCCCAAGCGCTCTGTCGGTGTCCTTCACTTCTCTGCCATTTCTTTAATCAGCGCGCATCCCTTAGTTCGCTGACTCGACACGACTCCTCGAGGGAGCCCATTCTTCTTCAGCAACACGACTCGACTGCCCGCTGCACGCAAACACCCGCACTGCGTCCGTCAACAACAGTCCGCCTTCGCCAGCACGAGCGTGCTCAACACCAGCCATCATGTCGCGCAATGAAGCGGTAAGCATAACTTCTCATCTTATTCTTCCTTTTTGCCTCCACTGTTTCGTGTGTTGGCCACGCGATGCTGACCGCAATGGCCACAGGTGTCGCCGCTGCGCATCAACAAGACACCTACTCCCTCGCCCACAAAGGGAAGCGGCCGTCCCTTGTCAGAAATCAGCCCCCATGAGCACCGCAGGAACTCTCCCAGCTGGAACCAGACAACAAAGGTATGTGCCGAGGCCGCCTTTTCCACCTGCATTCCCGCTGCATTTCCGCCGCCACTCCCATCTGCAGCCTGCTAACGTCTGACCCAGAAGATTATCCTCACCAAGGAGAGCTCGCCATTCCGCGACTCTTCGCCTTTTACTCACAGCCCGCGTCTCTTCTGGAAGGAGCAGACCACTTCGCCCAAGAGCCGCTTCGACACGTCGGAGAACGAGTACGAGGGCAGCTCGCCTCTCTCGCCCAAGCGCAACTCCATTGAGAACCTGAAGAAGCAGTCGCGTGTCAAGAACAGCAGTATGTTCGCGCGCGAGCAGAAACACGAGTACGATCCCAGCTCGGTCCAACCACTCGACCGCCCACTCGCTGCAGGACGCCCTCTTAGCACCGCTATCCAGGGCAACGCCTATGGCGGCAATGGCCTCCAGGGCCTGCGCAATGAGAACGAGAGCCCCACAAAAGGTCACCACCACAGCCGGTCTGAGAGCCAAACACGGATCCCCATCCTGAGCCCGTCCAAGACGTCACCAGCAAAGCTTCCCACACAATCTTCATTCGCTTCACCATCAAAGCCTTCTCCGTCTGAGGGCCGCATGTCGCCGACCAAATCTTCGCTTGTCAGCAACGGTCGCTTCAACTCGCCGCAGTACAATGGTGACTCCAGCGCCATCATGTCAGATGACGAAGAGCTCGTTCATCAGACTCCCCGCCCACTGCGGCGTCATGCTAAGAGTGTGACCTTCGACACAGCTCCACCCCAAATTACAGAGTTTGAGTTGGTCACACCCGACCCTTCGGTCGCCACAATGTCACGAGACGGCAGCTACGACTCCGAGGAGGAGACAGAAGAGGAGATGAGCTTCGACCAGGATGACAGCTTCGACGCTTCACTAGAGGACACCGATAAGACTCCAGTTGTCCTGCCTGAGGACTGGCGCCACATGAGTCCGCAAGCCGCAGACACTTCTCTGACCGATCTCTACGATGATGTCTTTGACGGGCGTGAGAACAGTCCCATGCCTTCAGCACGTCCAAATGGCACGACCAACGGATCGCGTGTCGGCTCAGTAGCGTCTGACAGCGATGCTAGACCACTTCCTCCTCTTCCCGCCATACAAGGTAGCCCCAACCGGCGGCGCGACTCAAGCATTGGCCTTTCCGCTGCCGCAGAGCGAGTAGGCGACAGGCGGCGCTCCCTTCCTCAGCTTCCGCAAGCAGCTGGTATCTCTAAGAGTGATCTTCTCAACATGCGCGAGGTGTCTATGTCGCTTGAGGATCGGTTGCGTTTGATGAACTTCGACGACGATCGTGATACAAGCACACCAACTCAAGAGATGCAAAACAAGAAGAAGGCTGTAGAGGTT